TGGAATAAAGATAGATAAGTAAATAAGTCAATAAATGTTCAATAAACCCCTCAGCTCCCAACGAGAAGAAACTTACAAATGTGTATATTTCTCCTCTTTTCTAAGTGCATCCTAAAATGACTTCATAGACCCATTCCTTGAGATCACTCTAAAAGCAAGGAAGTGGTGACATATTTGGATCCTGGCTGGAAGCCCAATAAAGCAGTGTTCTTCAAATGGCGTTGCAGCCAGAGGTTCAAGGTTCCCAGGCTGAGAGTAGGTGTCTACATCAGCAGGACACTGTGAGCGAGCACAGCCCCATGTGTACACACTTGTGTGATCCATTTCATAAGCAGCTAAAGTCCCTCTTCTCCAGGATTGGGAATCCTTCAGCTGTTATGGATAGATATTTCATTTGGGTTTTTCGAAGGCCTTGAAGGGATTGTTGCTTCTTTACTCTTGGTGATTTTGATTTTTAAGACAGGATTAAAGGGAATTATGAGACTTCAGGTCTTTCATTTCCTCAGAGACTTATAAATTTGCGCTAATGATAATCCCAATGCTTAAAAAAGAATAAGGATTTTGGAATGACTCATGATGCTATAATACGAAAAGCATTCTACCTCCAGCTAGCTGTGGTAGGCTAGGCCTGGCTCTTATTTTTATTTTATTTTCTTTTTTTAAAGAAATTTATTTTCAGTAATGCTGGCTTAAGTTTAAGCATTCTAGGTTTTGTTTTGGTAAATTTGGTTTCTTAGACGTAAGTGTTTAGTAGCGCTCAGAGAAGACCCATTTGCATTTTTGGGGCTTGGGGTGTGTTTTCTTCATGTGGGTCTTATGGACGACTCTTCTTAACGACTGTTTGTGGGTATTCTTTTTATCTTGGTTAATAATGTCATCACGGTAAGGACAATGACAAGACGCATTAATTAAAACAGCAGCCCTTCAATGTATACTTTAAATATCTTATAATTTTATATGTCAACTATACTTCAGTAAAGCTGAAATTAAAAAAAAAAAAACCCTGTTACTTCAAATATACTATGATTCCTTGCTATTTTTACTCATCTTGGCTTGGAATTTACCCTCTGCTGGATCTCTGTATTCCTATCCTCTGTGCTAGCTCCTAATTTGTTCCTAAAATGCACCTTACACTCCTCAGCTCCAAGGAGGTTTGTCTGACTCACCGGGCTTGGCGAGCATTTCTTGATTGCCGTGTTTACCACATTGTATTATAACCTGTCTCCTCGTTGTGTTTGTGAGCTTCAGAGGTGTTTGTTTTGCTTTGGTTTTCGTTTTTTGCCTCTGCCTGGCATTTGGCATAGAACCTACCATATACCAGACCTTGAAAGTGTATTTTGCCTGGAATAAATGGACGACTTTGTTGTGTATGCGAAGATACAAGGAAAAACACCATATTTTAAGTTCGTACTTGAGATAAAAAATGGGGGACACCTTATTTTATTTCACTAAGGTACATTTGGTAAATGTGTAGAAAATAGGGCAATATTTTGAATATGTTCCTGAATATAGAGGAGAGAGGAATTGTCCCTAAGGAATTTCCTTTTTATGTGGAAATGAGCAGCGTGCCGAATATGAAGGACAATATGACGCAGAGTAATTTCTCAGGTTGCCCCTGGATAGTACTTTTGCTCAGTTATGGAAGGGCATTGCCTTGATTTTTAGAATTTCTGGGTCATGGGAATTGTGCTCATAAGCGTGAAACATTGATATGAAAAGATAAGAGAACTTTTATTTCTGAGTTAAATCTGCTGGGAACATATATCCTCAATAGAATAAGAAAATAAAAAACTTACTCATCCAGGGAAGGATTTTATATGCACATTAAGCCGCAAACACTTGTCTGAAATGTTTGCAACCATACTATTTTGTCCCCTGGTCTTTATTCTCATGCAAAGGGCTCACTGGGTCATCATCATCAGTAAAATCATCTGGGCTACAATAATCCTTACTTTTACCTTTGCTTTTCCCTGAGCTTCAGTCAGATGGCTCTATTGGTATTGACATTGTATTCAGTGAGTGAACAATGCAATGCTTAGGGAATTACCTTTTGTGATTTTAGAGGACATCTATTGCTTTTCTTAGCCTAGCAAACCATTCACCCTTTCCTGGTAATACCACCCTAATTTTCTTAAGACATCCACTCCATATGGTTGGGTGGGGCTGACCACACCCCTTGGTCCAAAGATGGACATGTGAACCAGCCTTGTCTAATCAAAACATCATGTCTCCCCATTGATAGTGATTGGTTCAAGAATGGGCATGTTAGTCAAGCCCAGCCAACGAATTCGGTACTTTAGTTTGAAGAGTTGGAGAACAGATGGACTCTCTCTATAGGATTTGCTGAGAAGTTAGGTCATAGGCCTAAAGCTTCTGGCTGCCATCTTGCCATTTTGCATCAGGAGGGGTGAGCCTGCCTGAAACCTGAGCCAGTGGAGAGAAAAGTGGGAACAGAGAGACATGGCAATAGTGAGTGCTGGGGACATTCTCTGAGCCTCTGGATCCAGCCATGCTCAAAGTGAGGCTAGTCTCTAGATGTGACTCAAAGAAAACCCTTTTTTGCTTATAGTCAGCTGGACTTGGTTTCCCATCACAGGCAAACAGAAACAACTTAGACAAGTTGCACGGTCCTTAGATAAGAGCGCAGTCCTGGAAGGAATCAACAGTGATGGATCAAAGAGGGCATTTCTGTGAATTCTCCAAAAGCCTGCATTCTTGTAGTGACTGTTCCTGGGTTGTGAGGATCCCCTGGAATGGTCCCCATTCATGCAGAGAATCAAGACCAATTGAGCTTTTACCTAATTGTTTCTTTGACCAATTGGTGCTAGAGGAGTCCGGTTAAATGCCTCCCCTAATAGACTCTGGCCTTTGCCTGTGCCTGTTCCCATCATGCTAGCAAACAGCCTGTCTTAATTGCAGGGATGCTCTCTGACAGCTAAAAACTTAGCTGCATTCTTAAATATCATATCTCCTAGTTTTCTCTGAAGCATTTTATTTTCTGTCCTACATTTCCCAGAACTAGTTTAATACAAATAATAGCTTAGACTTGTTTAATCTTTCTATGCCTCACTTTGACATCCACAAATAAGAGATTTACGCAGGTCGATACTGACAATGCTCCGTGGTCATATCTAGAGTGTTTTTATGTTTATAATCTCATTTAATCTTCTCAATAATTGTTTGGGGTATTTTCTTTGAGGTCTTGTAAATCCTTAATTCTGAGTTTCTGTATTTAGAAATAGGGGAAATATATATTTTAATGCTTTCTAAGGAACATGGACATTCACATGAGAATGTAAAATTATGACCATTGGGATGAATGTGCAGATCAAGATAAAAATCTTGAGACCAAAAAAATATCATTTTAACCATCCTGCACAAACAACTTATTGGACCACAGCAATGGAGCCCAAGGGCTAAATAGCATCACTGCGACTGATTCTCTGACCCTATCAAATGTGCTGGTTTCTTTTCTTTTACAAGTTAGATCTTTGAACACTTTGTATTCATCAGTGATGGGAATGGAGGGAGATGTTAAAGCCTACTGAGTTGTCCAAAACAAACTCACAGGAAAAAATCTATTATTTTTCAAAACTGAGAAGGATTTCAAAGTCCATGAAACTGTCCCTGCAGAATGAGTTGCAAAATGCTGAGAAGTGAAAACCACAGGGAATGACTCTTCATGGAGCCAGAGCAGCCAGCTGGGGGAGGATTGAGCACCCCAGGCTGGAGGAAGCCCTGCACAGGAGAGTCTGGGCCTTAGCAGGCCTTCTAGAAGCAGAGGAAAGTCTAGCCTGGAACCTTCTCTAAGGTGTGCTTTGAGGACAACAAGGCAATTCTCCTGGCTCCTAAATCATCTCATTATTTGCCACAACTCCTGAAATTCTACTTCTTCATCTTTCCCTTTGGATCTTAGAAGGCTTTCAGCCTCAGCGGCTCCTTTAGGGGAGGGGTGCCACAAACCATCACTTGTTAGGATTAAGAGACATTTGGCCCAGGGTAAAGCCTTGTAGGAATAGGGCTGTAGGAATAGGGTGGAAACTAGATATCCTGATGGTAGGGAAAGAGGAGGACTAAACACGGTGGGGGAGAAGACAGAAGGTCCCAGGTGGCAATGACCGGACATGAACTCGCCTCACGAATCTGAGAGCTGGCCTCAAAGAATGGCAAACACAGTTTTGCCCAAAATTATAAGAAAAATCCTACAAAAGTTTTTGTCTTTTCTACATTTTTTTAGAGGGGTTCTTCTTATTTTTCTAAATTTGTCCATAGTCTTCTCTTTAAGTTACTTGGAAACTGTGGCATCTGCTTTCAGCAAATATACTTAAACTTCCCCCACATTCACACATTTCTCCAAAATCATATACATTATCAGATTTAATAAAATTGTTCAAGAACTGTGCATGATTTACTTCGGGCCTCAGCCCATTTATTTAAAGCTAAGTACAGAGGGACAGACTGTTAAGTTAAAACCACAGAACAGAGACTGACTTGTCAACGTAGTTGAATTAAAATCCTAGAGAAAACTTTTGATAAAACTTATCTCATTCCTTAAGATTTGCTTGCCTCCATGTAGTCTAATGCAGTGCCTACACATGGTATATGCTCAGTTAATACTTGTTACAAACAAACATTTAATTGTGATAGTCATAATTAAATGACTATATAATTGAATAATTAAACTACTTTTCAAATTGGAAGGGGAAAAAAAAGAAGATGGTTTCATAACTATTGGAAATTTTTCTATGGTATAAAAACAAGGTGAAGTGCAAATTACCCCCAATTACACACACATCACATTTAAACCAGAAACTAGAGTCTCTTTACTCTCAAACTTCCTTGGGCACGTTAATTATATCTGAAATTTGAAAAGGCTACTCTTCTAAGATATTAATAGTTGAAAATTGTCATGAAAGTAAATTCAAGATTAGGACATAAAAAATCAGAACAGTGCCATATTGTATTTTCCAAATATTGATGATTTAAAAAAGTACACTTACCCCATTTCGACAGTTGACCCCAGAAATGAGGGTATGCAGTAGTCTGCAGCTGCCAGCGTATAGGGCGGTCGAGCAGCAGAATCGTCCCAGTAAATGTCCTTTTTCATCTTAGGTAAGCTCATGTGCATCTCATCCACAGCTAAAAGAGAGACCTAAAATCATTGTTTTATTGTTAGAGTAATTCGGATATGAGTTGTATAATCAAAGAGAGTAAGTTCTAGTGGGTGGATGGGATTTGCAGGAGGATAGAACAGTCTGAAAGAGTAAATATACAAATATCTGTCATTTATATTTGCTGTAACCAAGGCTGCTGCACAGTTGTGCATGTTGTTTACTGCACAAGAGCACTTGACCTTGGCAATGGGGGTTAAGTGGGGCTATAAAACTGCCCAGACTTGGTTTATCAAGCCACAAGCCCAGAATGGAGCCAGCAACGTTTTACCTGGAGGCAGGAGAGACACCTTTTTCTTCTTTGTTCAGAGTTACCATGTTGTCTAATGGCTATCCTGACAGCAAACTCATAGTTCCAGACATTACAGGAAGTTGAAGATTCTCAATATCCCATTCTGTTGATTCCATAAACATAGTTACACTTGATATCATTTCTTATGCATCCTGATTTTTTTGTTTGTTTGTTTGGAAAAGTATATCAGCAAATCTCCACAGCCTGGGGCCATATAGTGCTCTCTCTTCTTGAGTTTGACACACTGAGGCATGAATAAATTATTAATCTTTCCGCAAATCCAATTCTTCCAAAGAGCGAGTGGCCTGTTATGCTTCCTCCCTGACAGACTGACAGTGTGATTGTTGGAGGAGGTCACAGAGAGGATGTAACCTCTGTTGACCTGAAAGCTGAACCCAGGCAATCACCCCCCACCCCTTCCCTGTTCACTGGAATGTACATTCTGCCTACTGTTCTCACAGTGGAGCCATTTCAAGGACACAGCCTTGAGAGAGCACTCTATTGTTGAGACCATCTTGACTGAAAGTAGGGCTGAACTCAGTTAAGGGCTCTGTATAAACTTGGAAGATTCTGGCAGGTGGACATGGAGATCTACCTGTCTTGTGGCTACCCAAGCCAAGCCTGGTCTGTCAGTCCCCTTGTTTAGTCAGCCTGCCACCTACCAATCTGGAGTGGCCTGGCTTCCCTTCCTCTGTGCTGGGCCTCCACATTCAGGCCAGTTTGTGAGCTAACAGTGATCTACAGTGAAACATTTGAACTGTTTAAGAGCTGAGTAAAAGCCTGAAGCAAGCAAATTGAAATTCTTTTCTCAGCCTGTGAGGGTCTGACGACAATCAGACAGTCAGACAGTCAGACAGTCAGACTGGTCTGACGACAGTCCTATTGGAAAGGAAAATTCTCTCATGCTGGTGCTTCCTGAAAAACCTCTCTGGAATAATGCTGTGGGGTCAGGGTCCTGGGGCCCATTTGGTTTAATTCAGTTAGATTTGAGACACAGGTCGTTGTGGCCTACGTGCCCAGTGCCCTGCCGGGTGGTCATCTGACCGCAGGCTCCTACATGACATGAATTCGGGAACTCACCTCCCGCCAGATCATGTCTGGCTGTCATTTTATGTCCCTGCTCACCCCACTTGGATGGCAACACAAAACAGATGAAAGAATGGATGAAAATATTGCTCTGCAGAAAGATGGAAGAGGCTGTGTAAAGCTAATAAAGAAACTTACAAAGAAAATTGGCTTGAAATTCTACTTAAAAGGGACTAATCTTTACTGCAACAGAGACCCAGGACCTGTGAGGTTCCAGAAGGACTTGAGACAACATACTGAAAAGACAAACCTCTTTCATCTGTGGCTAAAGCTCTGAAGCTCAGGGGCCCAAATTCCGAGTCTGTTCAGATTTGAAACACCACAAGGGATTCATTATTAATGTTTGTACAGGAAAGAGAAAGCTCCTCTAACCTGCAAGTTTCTGTCAATGCACCAGTTGGTTTCAAAATCATCATCGTCTTCTCCAAATGGGTTGATAAGCTGCTCAGCTACCTGCAGTGAGAACACAGAGCAAGGCCATCATGATGCCTGTGAAGACTAAGAAGGCAGGCTGAAGGTGATGGAGATGATGCCCTTTGCCACTTCCATGATATGAAGCCCAGAGGGGAGTGGGTCATTCCACCGACACTGATATTTATCCGCAAGTGAGACTTGACTCTCAGACCACAAATGAGGCACCGGGATGGGCTTGCTCTCCAGTGGATCTGTCTCTCTGTTCAGCTGGGGACAGTGCAGACCCTCCCCAAAAGAAGCTGTGTACCGTCAGGGAGCCGAATGATTGATGCTCAGGGGCAGATCTAGCCAGTGAATGTTGAAGGACCACTGACAAGGTGCAAGGCACTCTGCTGGACACCTGTGGGGTTATGTAGGCTGTGAGCTGAAGAAATTTACAAGGGCCCAGGTGATGAGACCAAAATTTAACCATGGGGAAGATAAAACAGCAAAGACTTAAAACATAATTAAAGAAAATAATACAAGGAGTTTTGACAATTATTGGACATAACAGCTAAATGAATGAGTCAGAGAGCTAGCGAGTCATAAAGTTGGAATTTGTCTCCCTTTGTTTTATTCTAAAGGGTTTTCTGGTACCTGGTCAGTTTCCCACTGGGAAAAGTATAGGTAGCTCCTTATCGCATTTTTTTTCACATATTTTCTTATAGTTGATCAATATGAAATGATCTTACTATGTTCCAGAATTGGAGAGCCTTGATGAGAGATTTATATGCCAAATATGTCTCGCCTCCTTTTTAAATAATCCCTTTGAGGAGTGACTGGGCGGCTCAATTGGTTAAGCATCGACTCTTGGTTTCACTTCAGGTCATGATCTCGGGGTTGTGAGATCGAGCCCCATAGGGGGCTCTGTGCTCAGCAAAGTCTGCCTAGGATTCTCTCTCCCTGTCCTTCTGCTCCTAGCCCTGCTTGTATTCTCCCTGTCTCCCTCAAATAAATAAATTTTAAAAAATCTCTTTGATTTTTATTATCAAGATTGTGTGTGTGTAGGTATGTGTGAGAGAGAGACAGACAGGTGGGGGGTGTAGAGAGATTTTACATTGGGCTTAGATGGGAAAAAACAAGGGTAAAAAATAAAGGCACCATTGATTAGTTGAGTTTCTATATTCTCAGACTATTTGGTAGAAAATCTACCTACTTAATTTTTAGGATGTAAGTCTAACCATTAACCACTTAGAGCAGCTGTTTTCAACCTTGGGTGAAGATCGAAATAACCTGTGGAGCTTTAAAGGCGCTTGATGCCTGGGTGCCTCCCTCAATTCTGATTTAATGGGTGCGAGGTTGTGCTGAGCTCTCTGTACTGGGTGAAGCTCCAGGAGATTTAAGTGCGTGGCTGAAGTCGAGAACCACCAACTTGGAGATGCATCTCCCTTGCTGTAAGTGATGAAACTGGGCAGGGCCTGTGCCCCGAATCAGTCAGCCTCCCAGCAATATTCCTGTCAAAGTCCCTCACTGCACCTTCCAGGGGCAATCCACTCTTTCTGGCCTGGGGTTGTAAGAGGTCACTGGATGGGCCTTAAAAATATTTTCGTTACATCCAGAATTTCACTTTTATGGGATCATTCCTGTATATAATATTAGAGTTTACATTTACCTACCCAAATGATATTATGTTTCTGGATTGACTATCTCAAGAAACAGCTTTTAGTTTCTTAGAAGCTCCCTTTCCAGCAAATAACTGAGTAATATACTATTTATAAGGTTAAGATGGGGTGTTTGTTTTTTTTTTTTTTTACATTTTGAAAAGCTTTATAAATATTAGGATGGGCAAGATAAAACATCTGCTTAGAAAGTGAGATCTAATCCATTGGGTGGGAAAGCAGTTCTCTTCTTTTCTTTTAAGGCTGTCTATCTCCTAAAGGAGCTAAGATTGTATTTTCGTATTTTGCCTTTAAAAGTATTTTATAAAGGAGCAGAATGTTAATATTTTAGAGAGCATTTCAGAAGGCAAGAACTGTTAACAGTTGCGTACAGGCTGGGCAAACACCACATGGACACAAAACAAAGAATTCAGGGGACAGGACAATAAAAGACTAGAACGATCCAGCATTCAGGCCAGCCTGATTTTCTGTTTATAAGACCGGAGTCTTCTTTTTTCTCTAATGGGAGATGAGAGCTATTAGTTTCTCTTGCTCTTTCTCTGTCTTAAATGGGTAAAAATAATTAAGGATCACTGTCACTCAGCTGAAAATGTTTTTGCCAATTATTAAGGACACACCTTTACTTCTTGAAATGCCAATATATTTATTTTTCCTGGTTAATGATTCAAGCCAATCAAAGCAAAAGCACTGGAGGGGAAAACTTTGCCACAGCCTGGAAGGCTGCTTTAGTGCATACAGGGTGTGGCTGGCTGCAAGGTCAGTGTTGGACACTTCATTTTATTCAAGTCATCTTCAAACTGTCCTTAGATTTCAATTACCTTAATGGAGCCATTGTCTTTGTGTGTATGTGTACTACTTCTCTTGCCTCTGGCTGTGGTGTTTACGCAGGCATCCAGGGCAGGTTGAGGGGCAGGGGTGGGGTGGAGGGTGCTGGGGGAGGGGGTTCAGGGGACTGGGGGGTGAGGACAAACTCAATTCTGCACTGATGGTGGGACAAGTCCTTCTCAGGACTCTGGCCTGTTTTTAATTTCCTGGCAAACCAAATGTCATCATAAATTCTGCTGTTTCTGGTTTTGATTCTGATGAATCCTTTTCTGAGGCTCAGTTCTAGTTTTGGAAATGCGATGCCTTTAATGTGGGACAGCTAGTAGGATTTCAGGGAGTCACAGTTAACTGCAGAGTTAGGTTGAACCAATTTAATAATACAATGCTAATGCTGAAGCCTGATATACAAGGCTTCTTATTTACTCCCTTTCACTCTGCCTAGTTGCCGATTGTGGCATAAAATATCAAGGCAGTTACGGTTATTACTTTAATTACATTACTAGAATCCTAATGGGAGCACACAAAGACTGAAAAATCAGTAGCTGTAAAAGAGTGTTCTTGTAATCTCTTTGCTTTAGATGGCTGTAATATGGTACTCACCACATCTCTTTAAAAGTAATGACATCCCTGGGCGATTCAATGTTAAGTCTACTGTTGAAGGGCTCATGAATGAGTGACTCAGTACAGACCCGGGGTGCAGAGGGTAGAACATGACAGGGTTTACAGAGTGGGTCTCAGGCGCGGAGACCGTGGGCTACCTTGAGCCATCCCGCGTAGAAGAAGAACTGGAGGAGCGTGAAGATCGGAATGTAAAGGTCTAGGTCATGCCCTGCGTAGCCTTTGGTGGGATCCAAAAACTGGCGTCCAATCAGGCAGGCAAAGAAGAAGGTGTAGACTGCCAGGGTGACAACCTGCAGCAGAGAGAAGCGTGAGTGAGAGCTCGGCGCCAGGTGCCCACGGCAAGCCTCAAGGAAAAACCGAGTGCCAAGAGCTTGATACCTGGGTGTAGACCAGCGGAATCCCAACCCAGTCGTAGCCAAATAAGAGGCTGCACCAAGAGCGGTATTTGTTCATTTCCTAAGGCAGAAACAGATAAAACATAGTTTACTAAGATGATGGGTGGGGCAGTAAAGATTTCCTGGGATTCGTAGTGTGGCTTTGACTTTTAGGAATATGTCCGTAAAGGGGCGCCTGGGTGGCTCAGTGAGTTAAAGCCTCTGCCTTCGGCTCAGGTCATGATCCCAGGGTCCTGGAATCCAGCCCCCGCATTGGACTCTCTGCTCAGCAGGGAGCCTGCTTCCTCCTCTCTCTCTGCCTGCCTCTCTGCCTACTTGTGATCTCTGTCAAATAAATAAATTTTTAAAAAAACCTTAAAAAAAAAAAAAAGGAATATGTCCGTAAAAGGATGAAGCTGACTTTGTAAGGTTCTAATTGGTTCTGAGAGCGACTGAGAAAGGAAACATTCTGGAAATGGCCATCAACATCATTCCACAATGCAAAATGGACGACTGCAGTTGGGCGTTTTAAAAAATATTAAAAGAAATCAGGTCTTTATAGGACTATCCCCTACTCTATTGAACCCGTAATTTCCAACATGTATGTTTGCCCAAAGTGGTGATGGGAAGGCAGGCGTTAATATTTTAAATAAGTCATTTCTATCCATTTTGGTACATTTCTGTGAGAGCAGATTTTTTTTTTCCCTGTTTCTCTACCTCTTTTGAAAACATGTTTGCTATAGATTTTAGAAAAAAAGAAGCACATCCTCTGCCCCCTGCCCCCATGAAGACTTTACAACAACACTTACATTGATAGAGAATAATCTCTGTTTGGAGCAGGAAGAACTCTAATCCATTGATTTTTTTTTTCCCCTTTATCAAGCATAAGTTATTACATAAGACTGGGAAGAGGAGTTTATGTTAATTTGGGAGTTATTTTTATATCATTCATTCTTTTTTGCCTGATTCAGGCAGGAGATGGTCATGGTACATGTCTATCTAGGTCTTCTATAAATTTGCTTTTCAGATGAACTCAGGGTTATTTCATCTAATGAAAACATCATTTCATTTCCTGGAGTATCTGAAAAGTTGGCTTAACCTCAGGAAATTCCAACTGGGGGGATCTGAGTGGACAGGTTTATTTTTACTCCAGATTTTATTCTAGGATGGTGGAGCCAGGGATGGTAAACACGCCATGTGGACACAAGATCATTCAGAACTCTTGACAGCTCTTGGTAATCAATTAAGGGACACTTTCTTACAGAGCCTGAAAGCCTAATTCTGTTTAGACTGAGTTTCTCAGCAACCACCAGCAATCCACATGACTTAAAACCTGTGTGTTATTCCTGTCCTGCATGTTGAGGGTTCCGATACTAGCCCAGTCTTTCTGGTTCCAAAGGAACCAGAACGAAGCAGACTTGTCCTGGTCTGACCTGTTCCATCCAGATCCCTGCTGGTCTCTGATTAGCGTCTTACACTGACGATTTGTGAGGTACTTACAGTCATCAATGATTGTAGGTCAACACTGTCCCTGATTCTACCTTCCTTTCGGGCTTTCGCTGCAAGATTTCCAAACCAGATGAATGGAACCCAGTATTTCAGATGAGGGGATTTGAGATGGTCAAATAATTTTCTTTCATCTGCTGTCATAAAACCTTTAGCACAAAATAAAAATAGCGCAATTATGCAGAATTAGTCTAGCACTAATACATTACCATAAATATTTTCATGGTTACTATGGGAGCATACAATTGGGGGATATTAAAAATGCATAAAAGATGCCTCAAGTAGTTTATACTTGTATTAGAAATAAGGAATGTGTGTGTGTGTGTGTGTGTGAGTGCAAACACATTTTTAATCTAACAATAATATATATCTAACTATATATATATTGTTACCTAACAATAATATATAAGTTATCTAAAATAATATATAAGGCAAGGCATGTTGGTAATCCCTCATAGAGATGGCCATTAGGAAGTAAGGTGACTTTAAATGGGGACTAGAACATCTGGGGAAGGTTTCCTCTTTAGATTTTGGTTTATTCATCTAAAATTGGGAGCAAGAATACTTAGAAATGTTAGGATTAATGGGTGACCTGGGTGGCTCAGTCAGTTAAGCATCTGCCTTTGGCTCAGGTCATGATCTCCGGGTCCCAGGACTGAGTCCCACATCAGAGAAGACTGCTTCTCCCTCTGCCTGCCTCTCCCCTTGCTTGTGCACTCTCTTTCTCTGACAAATAAATAATAAAATCTTAAAAAAAAAAAAAAAGAAATGTTATGATTGAAAGAATAAAAGGTGTTAATATACAGAAAGCACTTAGTATAGTGTGGAAACCACGAAGCACATACTTTTCCTCCAGCTCACTTGCTCCCTCCACAGTCCTGATCAACCAAGTCCCCTTCTGTGAAGCCTTCCTTGATGTTGGTCTTCTCCTTCCCTTGGGATTTCCCCCCTTCAAAGTTCCCCAGACAGTGGTCTCTGTTGCCTTGTATTAGGGATTGTCATACACAAAGATTTCTCTTGCTAAGACCCTTTGGAAGGGCAGTGAATGTATGAGTGTAAGGACCTATTTAGAAACTGTCCCTGCTCCCCTTCCTCCAGGGGATTTACTTGAAGACCAATCCCGGAAACCAGCTTCAGGTAAAAAAGCCCAGATACAAAGGTGGGTCAGGCCAGGTGGAGACATCCGATCAGTGGGGGGGATGCATACTCTCTCCCTGGTTACCAAGGAGTATGGGCCCTGCCCTCTGGGAGCCTTTTGGGCGCCAATCCCAATCAAGGTTAATAGGCTGGTTCAAATGTCTACTAGGGTAAATTGTAACTCCATTGGTCACCTAGCATCACTGTGGAGTTTCCTGTGTGTGTTACAATCTCAATCTCATTCGCCACCTGTGCATGGCCAGGCCTGACCGCATGGCCTTTGCCCTTAAAAGCTAGTCTGTGAAACAGAGAAGGGTCGCCCACTCTTGTAAGAGGTGCGTCCCCGAACGTTCAGTTAGATTTTTGATGCTTGGCGCTAAATAAAGCTTTGCTTGACCTTCACTTTATATCAGTCTTGCTCCTTTAATTACGGACCCATTATTGGGGCATAACAATGATCTTCATAGTGCCCAGCATATCTTAAAAGTATAATTTTTACAATCTTTATTTGTGTGTGTACATGTATATAACACCGTTTGCCTGAGCTTGCAGTGACCTCTCTAGCCTCAGTTTTCCCAGTTGTAAAAGAGAAATGATAGTACTACTTCCCAGGCATGTTGCAGAATTACATGAGATGATGAACGCCTGTCAAGAGGTTAACATAATGCTTAGCACATACCTAGCATTCAGTAAGTGCCAAGGCATAATACATTATGAAATTTTAGTTATCCACCCCACCCTCAACCTGCACAGCAAGGAAAAAAGAGATTTGAATAAGAGGAGAGGAGAAATAAGGGAGCAGGTTTATTTAATAAACGAACATTTACTGAATGTCTACTGTGCACCAGGGTTTGTTCATATAAATATCTACCTTATTTTTTATGTATTTGGGGGTGGGTAGGGGCAGAAGGAGAGGTAGAGAAAGAATCTCAAGCAGACTCCCCACTGAGCACAGAGCCCCCACGTGAGGCTCAATGTATTGACTCTGAGATCATGACCTGGGCCAAAACCAGGAGCTGGACACTTAACCACTTGAGACACCCAGGTGTCCTTCAAGTATGTACTTTAAAAGCTTGCAGTTTACACTTGACCTTTTGCTTTTTAAAATATTTGATTGAGTCATTCAAATGCTACAGGAATCCAGAAGGACCAAAAGAATATTAATAAGAAAAGTCAGTCTCATTTTCCCAGCTACACAGTTTTCTCTCTGAAGGAATTACTGTGGCAAGTTTATTGTGTATCTTTCCAGAGAAATATCATTCAGACTTAATTTTTAAGAACACAAATGGCTTTACACTAAATACATACATATCTGTCATTTGTTTCTATTTTTTGGTTATATCTTGGAGATCTTTTTTTGTTAGTATATATGGAGTGGCATCATTGTTTTTAATGGCTGCTATCTAGCTAATTGTATACAATGTTCTATTTAATTAGTCCTCTTTTGAATAGACATTAAGTTGTTTTCATTTTTTTGGTATTAAAAAAAAATAATGATGCAGGCTCCTGGGTGGCTCAGTTGGTTATGTGAGTGCCTTTGGCTCAGGTCATGATCCCGGGGTCCTGGGATCGAGCCCCACATCGGGCTCCCTGCTCAGCAGGGAGCCTGCTTCTCCCTCCACCTGCTGCTCCCCCTGCTTATGCTCTCTCTCTGTCAAACAAATACATTAAATTTAAAAAATGATGCAATTGGGACGCCTGGGTGGCTCAGTTGGTTAAGCGGCTGCCTTCAGCTCAGGTCATGATCCCAGAGTCCTGGGATCGAGTCCCACATGGGGCTCCTTGCTCAGCAGGGAGCCTGCTTCTCCCTCTGCCTCTGCCTGCCACTCTATCTGCTTGTGCTCACTCTTGCTCTCTCTCTCTCTCTCTGACAAATAAATAAATAAAATCTTTTAAAAAAATGATGCAATTAGTATTCTTGTACTTATTTCCTTGAACTTTTAAGTGGACTTTTCAGTGTTAACTGTAATTTAGTACCAGTAATGTTTTCTGAATTAAATCTTTTTTCAAAAATGGAGTTTTGTTAGATACTAATTTTGAGTTACTTTTGTCTCAGGAATGTGGTCATTTGCTTATGAAATTCTAACACATTCATATGAAAATCGACTTTTGCCCCAATGTAACCTAGTTTATATCCTTAATCACCTGTAATCAATTTACAAATATGATTATTCCGCTTTAAGTGATCCTCCCTCCTTACCATGGAGACGTAGTTTTATTTCAGAGGTGTTACTCTAATAGAAGAGGAGTCAAAGAGAAGAGAGACCTGCTCATTTTGAAAGTCACTGATTCATAGAGCCTTGGAGTTACCTAGATCTCGGTCAGTGTTTTTGAGAATAGGGGCTACTGATCGTGGGTATCTGAGTCACTTGTGACATCTGTCACCCATGGAGAGGGCTAGGCTCCACCCTCACCTACTAAATCAGACTCAGAACCAGCTCTGTGCCTTACCATCTCATGCATGCTACTTCTAGAAAATTCTGATTCAGGTGGTCTAGAGTGAGTCCGGGCATCAGCATTCATTCAGATCTTCCAGAGTGATTTAATGGAATTGGGTCCAAGCAGTCACATGTGTACCAAGCTCTGCCGGAAATTCTTTTTTTTTTTTAATATATTTTTTTATTATGTTCAATTAGCTAACATATAGTAGTACATCATTAGTTTTTGATGTAGTGTTCAATGATTCATTAGTTGTGTATAACACCCAGCCCTCATAACTGCAGGTACCCTCCTTAATGCCCACCCAGCTTCCCCATCCCTCCACCCCTTCAGTTCCATTCCTGAAGTCCAGAGTCTCTCATGGTTTGTCTACCTCTCTGATTTCTTCCCCTTCAGTTTTCCCTCCCTTCCCCTGTGGTCCTCCCCACTATTCCTTATGTTCCACATACAAGTTCTGACACACAGCAACGTTTGAAAATCACTGCCCCGCCGAATGAAGATTCTATTTATTCAGTATTTGAAGTAAACAGAGTATCAACTACAAAGCCAGTATTTACCAACAGGAGACTCGTTTTAGATAATGCTCAGGTTATTTATGTTAGCTTAGAAGGAAATTCCTCATGCCTGAGGAATTGGACTTTGTCTGGATGTCAAAAATAACAACGAGCCTGATCATTCGCTTCTCGCTTCTCAAGGCAACTCAAAGTTCTTGCCTGATCAAGATACTCCGCCTCTTTTTTTTTTTTTTTTTTCTTTTTAAAGACTTGCGGAGCATGATCGAGCCTTGTTACAAGAGGTTAATAAACTTGACCTGTCTTGGCTCTATGCTTAAAGATTTGCAGCAGCGGTTCATCCTTTACCTGGAAGCTATTCTCTGACATTTCATATCATTCGGCTAGCAGTTACATTCTTGGGATTTATGCTGCAATTTTCAAAAAATTACCCCGTTTATATACCAGTTGCAATCTCTGTCATTTGACCAAAGAATAACTTTACCTCTGCTTATTTTTTATTCAGGAGTATGGATCAATTTGTGCTGGCAAGTTCTTTTTCAGCTTTTTAGCAGAATGCAAATATGCAAAGTGAGGGTTTATTCAGGGCAGACACAAAAGCTAGAGTTAGCTTCTCTCCCAGGTAGCACACCCACCCACTGGAAGGGGACATGCAGAGCAAGGAAAGCTGGGGATTTTTAGTTTTTCAGCCCAGAGGTAAGGAGTACTTTGCTCAGCTCCGTGGAAGGTGGATGACAAACCAGACATTAATGTGTCCTCCAAGAGTGCACAGGCATTGTGGTTTTTGCTGCTCCCCTCAGGGTCACATGTCTTACTAAAAGTAACCCCGTCTTTGGAAATCATATCACTGGCCAAGTACAAGGAAATCCACAGATTGTTGGTCAAATCAATTAAAAGGATGTTTGTTATGAAATGTAATTCTATCCTTATCAGTACTTTAGGCCACTGTAACCAGAGACCAAGGAACTTTTTCAGAATGTGGTCATTATGCTCATCACTAGGACTGTGTGATCCGCACACCCACTGATCTGCCGCAGTTTGGTAGCGCTGTCAACTGGACT